ATTGTTTATTTACAGTGTGAGTGAGTGTGGATATCAGATCTGCGCTTCAAGCTGGATAATTATTACAACAGCAAAGAAAACTGCTGGAAATGAGCAGGTGCACGTACTACATGGCCAAAAATATGTGAACATACTTGGCAACTTTTTGTTAACAGCAATGTTCATTTTAGACAACAACAACAAAAAAGTTTTGTCCATAACATTTTGAAATTATGGCAAATATTGATCATGTTGATGAGATAGAGGTCTCAGAAACACTTACAGCAGGGATTTTCTGGATTACCTCTCAGTGTTAATTTAACAGACTGGACTCAGGTCCAGTCTGTTAAATTAACATCTCTGCTTTTTCGTTCCCGGTTGTAGAATGTGCTTTGTAAAGCTGATTGTATAACTTTTATTCTGACTTGCAAAAACGTATAACTTCCTCAAAGTCTTTGCTCTTTGCAGGCACTTCTAGCTGATTCTGTTTTATCTCAGACCTGATCTAAGAGTTCAGTAAACATTTGCCTGAGAGCTGAGTGTTATAGATAGAAACCACCAAGGCTCGCCCATCTCGGTGTTTCTAATCACCTCATTAATCTTAGGTTTTGTGCTCTGTTTCTCAGAGGTTTTCTCTCCAGTGTGGAGTCCAAAGACGATGGCGCCCTGAGGCAGGCTGAGAGAGGAGCCATGACACTTACACAGGTGGGCGAAGACATTTAGAGTTTCACTTCATGCCTTTTGTTGCTATTTCACTGATGTACAGCTGTGTGTCTGTGTGCAGATGATCCCAGCTTTGGAGGCCGAGTGTGTGGAGGAAGCCCGGGACAGGAGTGTGACTCTGCCGTCTGATTGGTCAGTTAAAGGCCTGCTAGACAAACTCACAGAGGCAATGATGGACGTCCAAGCAGCCGTGCTGAAGACAGCTGCTGGCCTGCGACGCAGCGGTACACATAACACTCTTTAAAGAAGCAAACTTACAGAGGCAGAGGAGTCGAAAGAAAGCAGGTTTAAGCCACGTCCACATTGGCTTCCTCTGCATAAAGAAATAAGTAGAAAAAATTTCAGATCTGGTTGAAAAACCTTGTTTAATTTCTCTCACTGCAAAATATTTCTGTTCTGAATTCCTGTGTCCCTCATCTTTGAAGGAGACAGTCACCTTTATTTCAGCACGATATCTGCGTAAAGTGAACATTGTCACTGCTACCTGCTTGTTTAAATGCATTGTGGGGAAAAAGTAGGTCACTACCATTTAAATGATGTCTAATCTTTACGTCAACCTCTGATCTAAAGGGTTACTGACAGCTGTGCTGGCCAATCACTGGGTAGATGACAGAGCGGCTGGAGATGGCACAGGTCGCCTTCTCTCTCTGCTGGGCGGCCATTTTGACCTGGTCCTCCAGTCCTGCCACTTGGGTCACAGGGTCCCTGAGCCCGCCATGTTCAGCTCTGCCCTGCAGCGCCTGGGGGTGACACCCAAACAGGTAGAGGGTTTCGTGATGTAGACAATAAATATGCAGCATCACTGAGATTAAATTCTTGTATATCAGATATTATGAGTCATCTGTCTCTATTCAGGCGTTGTGGCTGGATGCTGATGTTGAGGGTGTAAAAGCTGCAGAGGGAGCAGGGATGAAGGCCGTCTTGGTGGAAAATCTGGATGCTGCTCTGGAGAAACTGTCTGAATTTACTGGCTTTCAGGTTTGTGTCACT